AGAAAAATCAGAGCTGCCCCTACCCCCTTTGCTCACCAGGATGTGCAGCTCTGAGCAGCACTGATATGCCGGTGCCCTACCCCTGTGCTTGCCCCTTACTCCCAACCCACAGGGTCAGGCATGTTGGTGAGGGGTTTTGGGGTAGATTGTGGTGGAGGACTGTGGGTGTGGGGTGGCAAATGGGGGGCCTGCTCAAGAGGGGTGGGTCCCCTGCTCACCACAGTGTGCATCCCCCTGCAAAGCTCATGGACTGCTCCCCCACATAGGGCCACAACCCTGCAACAGGGGCTCACAGATCCCCAACAGGGGCCCACAGCTACTGCCCCACCCTGCAGGGCCCACATGCCCCCCCTCATCCCCATCCCCCCCTGCTTGCTCCTCTGCCAGCCCTAGGTTGCTCCCCCCATTGCTCCTTTGCCCAGACCCAGCCCCCGATCGATCCCTATACACTAGATCAGCAATTTTCAAACCGATCTTGCTAAAAGAGTAGGATAGTGCTGCATGCTCTTGTAAATCCTATACAAAGCATAACAGGATCTTAGTCTTTGTTTACAATGGACAGAGATTCATAGATTCACAGACACCAGGGCTGGAAGGGACCTTGGAAGATCAAGTCCAGCCCCCTGCCCCATGGGCAGGAAGTCAGCAGGGATCATAGGATCCCAGCAAGATAAACATCCAAATGTCTCTTAAAGGTGCTCAAAATAGGTGCTTGAACCACCTCCGGTGACAGTCTATTCCAAACGTTGCGGGCTCAGACAGTAAAGAAGTTCTTCCTTATGTCCAGCCTGAAATGGTCATGGTGGAGTTTGTGACCATTCAACTTGTCATCCCTTAGGTTGCTCTGGTGAACAGACGTTCCACCAGATCCTGGTGAGTACCCCTGGTGAGCACCTATAGGTGGCCACCAGATCACCCCTGAGCCTGCACTTTTCTAGGCTGAAGAGTCCCATGGCTCTCAGCCTGTCATCGTAAGGTCTGTTTTCCTGACTTGTGATCATGGGCGTGTCTCTCCTCTGCACTCTCTCAAGCTTCTCCACATCCTTTTTGAATTGTGGAGCCCAAAACTGGATGCAGTACTCGAACTGTGGCCTTGCCAAGGCCGAGTACAATGGGAAAATGACGTCCTGGGATTTGCTTGAGAAGCATCTATGGATGCAAGCCAGCATTTTGCTCACTTTACTAGCTGCAGCATCACATTGAAGGCTTATGTTCATCTTGTGTTCAAACACTTACAACTTAGTGGGGTTAACAGAAACCTGGTGGGTTTCTATTAATCCATGACTGGGCAGTACACATTGAGGACTATAAGCTGTACAGAAAGGATAGAGGGGGGAGGAAAGGGGGAGGGGTTGCACTTTATGTCAAGGAGCGTTATACATCGACCCTTATCAAAATGGAATCGGAGGAGGAGAAAGTAGAAGGATTGTGGGTTAGGATACATGGAGGTCAAGGGGAAAAGGATTTGGTGGTATGGGTCTGTTACAGACCCCCACACCAAGGGGAAGAACTAGATTTGGAACTCCTGAGGCAGCTCTCAGAGACCATAAAGACTAGGGAAGCGGTAGTCATGGGGGACCTAAACTACCCTGACATCTGCTGGGAGACAGACAGCAAATTCCCACCATTCACACAGGTTCCTATCCTGCGTAGAGGACCTCCACCTGACACAGGAGGTACATGGCCCTACTAGGGGGAATGCCTTACTGGGCCTGGTATTGGCAATGGGGGATGACATGGTAGGGGACCTACAGATCAGTGGTCACCTGGTGGACAGTGACCACCAAATAATAGAATTCACCATAAGGCGCAGCATGGGAAAGGTAACTAGTAGGGTGGAAGTGCTAGAATTTAGGAAGGCTGACTTCAGTGAGATCAGGCGTTTAGTCAATGACGCACTGCAGAGTAAGAGATTTGGCAAGATGGGAGCCCAGGAAGGGTGGCTGTGCCTCAAGGAAGCGATCCTTCGGGCACAGAGGGAGATTATCCCGATGCAGGGAAAAAGGAGGAAAGTAGCCAAGAGGCTTCCTTGGCTGACCAGAGAAATCCCAAGCAGCCTAAGGGCAAAAAGCGGGGCATATAAGCAGTGGAAACAGGGAGAGATTACTAAAGAGGAGCATACCTCCTTAGCTCGCAGTTGTAGGGAGGCAGTTAGAAAGGCTAAAGCTACCGTGGGGCTGAGGATGGCATCCCAAGTTAAGGATAACAATAAATTGTTTTTCAGATATATAGGGAGTAAAAGGAAGGGCCAGGGTGGTATACGACCACTACTGAATGGGCAAAAGCAATTGGCGACAGACAGGGAGGACAAGGCTGAACTACTCAATGAGTTCTTTGCCCCAGTCTTCCTAAACAAGGGGCAAGACAAGTCTCACAATGGGATTTTAGAGAGGCAACAGCAGAGCACCAGACTACCAAGCATTGACCCTGAGATGGTGCAGAGTCACTTGGAAAGACTGGATGTGTTTAAGTCGACAGGCCCGGAAGAGCTCCATCCGAGGGTACTGAAGGCACTGGCTGATGTCATTGCACAGCTACTGGCAAGAATATTTAAGCACTCGTGGCACATGGGCCAGGTCCCGGAGGACTGGAAAAGGGCCAATGTGGTCCCTATTTTCAAGAAGGGGAGGAAGGAAGATCCAGGAAACTATAGGCCAGTCAGTCTCACCTCCATCCTTGGCAAAATCTTTGAAAAGATTATTAAGGCTCATATATGTGAGAGCCCAGCAGGAAAAATTATGCTGAGGGGAAACAAGCATGGGTTCGTAGCAGGTAGATCATGCCTGACTAATCTAGTCTCTTTTTATGACTAGGTTACAAAACACCTGGATGCAGGAGTAGGGGTAGATATTGTTTACTTTGACTTCAGGAAGGCCTTCCATATGGTATCTCACCCCACACTGGTGAACAAATTAAGAGGTTGTGACTTGGATAATTACACAGTCTGGTGGGTGGCAAACTGGCTAGGGGGTCATCCCCAGAGAGTGGTGGTGGATGGGTTGGTATCGACCTGGAAGGACATGGGCAGTGGGGTCCCACAGGGCTTGGTCCTTGGACCGATACTCTTCAATATCTTCATCAGTGACTTGGATGAGGGAGTGAAGTGTACTCTGTCCAA